TTGTGCCATTGGCAAAGTTTCTTCATGCATTTGAACTTCAAGACATGAGACCACGGCTTAAAATCACTCTCACAACGTCAGGCCAAAGGACATTTACAGTAACTGTGATCTCAGTGTGTTGATACTTCCATCCTTTGTCAGGACATTTTAATTGGCTTGGTATAGAGATGCTTGCTGCAAGCTTCCCTCTTGAAGAAGCAATCAAAACAGGCTCAGTTTAGCCATTTAGAGGCCTATCATCTATGAATTTATAGCATATATGAAGGGGAGGAAACTCTACCTAGCATTTGGCATACACCAAGCTATTCTTTTTGAACCCAAATGATTTCAAAAGCTCTTTATACATTGACTCACCTGCTGTGAAAGCTGAATCATCCTGTGAGGGGCAGTTGTGTGTCTGAGACATGATCCTTCTTCAGTCAAAACAGGGTCAGTTTAGCCATTTAGAGGCCTATCTATGAATTTATAGCATATATGAAGGGGAGGAAACTCTACCTAGCATTTGGCATACACCAAGCTATTCTTTTTGAACCCAAATGATTTCAAAAGCTCTTTATACATTGACTCACCTGCTGTGAAAGCTGAATCATCCTGTGAGGGGCAGTTGTGTGTCTGAGACATGATCCTTCTTCAGTTCAGTTGTTTTGCTCAGACAGGCACATAACCCCTGCAGGCAAATGTGTGAAAGGTCAGAGCATTTCTTCAAGGAATCATGTCAATACTAGGGCTGAAGGTTATCACACTGGACTTTGTCAGGGCAGAACTGGCAATAAATCCCATATAAAGGCCAGTGCATCTTCCCAAGCACAGCCAAAAGCAGCTTGAATGCCACTGAAAAACCATTTGAAAGTTTGTCATTCTGTTGAGCTTTTGCCAGAAAAGGGGGATGATTATATTGATTATAGTATTGATTTGAATGGGAATGTTCAAACACACACTGATTGGAATGGGAATGGCTTGAAACTCAAAAAACCTGCCTCTTGGAAAAGCAGGAATTTTTGGTTACAATCAGCTTCAGCTATATGTGAGATGTACCTGAGAGAATAATGGCCAGCCTGTTATTTCTCAGATAATAACCAGCATACTTTTCTCTTTGGAGCAGCTAAACATTTAGCTTTTTATATTATTATTGTAAGAAAGGACAAGGTGCAGGAAGGGAGTGAGGAAACAGCTGTTTCCTCCCAAAATTTGGAGGAAAAACAAGAAGCCCTTTAAATCAAATCAAAGAACAGTGATTTAGTCATAAGTTTGTCTATATTGATGGCACCAGTGTCTTCTGTTTTAACCCTGTTTCCAAGCATTAGAGGGTAGGCCAGGTCAAAATGGGAGCTGACCAGTGAATGATGGACCACACCTATGTTGGCTGTAGTGACATAAGCATGGGCTAAGCAGCAGAAGCAGGAAAACAAATGCAAAGAGCATTTGGAGTCCTGAAGAAGGCTCACTGCAGGGAGCAGAGTGGCAGAGTTCCTCTTGGAAGACAATACTTTTCTGAGAAAGCACCATACACAAAAGAAATGAGAGGAGTGTCTACATTTTGTTGCTAAAACCATAAGGAAATAAGAGCTCCTGAGTCCTTAGAGTGCTTCAGAACTCATGCTGCTGATATTTCAATACCTAATTGCTAGAGCAAGTTTTCCTCCCACGGGCAAATTTGTCCTTTGTTGTCTGATTGTTTTTCTTTTCTGAAAAAAAAGTCTCTCTAGTAGAGTTTCTTTCCTGAAACACTCTCTCTAGTAGGAAATATTTAGAGTTTTCTAACAGGAGCTTCTCAGAATGCTAATTTTCTGTAGTCTGCCCCAAAACATCACCTATTACATTCAAGTGAGCAGCTTCCTCCTTTATCTAAGGTGGGAATTTTTTTTAAGTCTCTAATCTTGCTAATGACCAGTCAAAGAATGTCTGGAATCATTTACTGAATAAAAATATACTGAATAAAAGTAGTTCTGAAGGAAGTCACCCCATTTCTGACCCTGCCCCTGTATGAATTCTGGTTAATCATGCATTTGCCCAGGTGAAAGTAGAGCAGAAAAGACTCCTTTGAAAATGCAGAGGGTGTTCTCTTCAAAAACACACCACAGTCAAGAATTGCAACACAACATCTCTCCATATTCATGTCTTTACCATCTTAGTGCTCCTTTATCCCCCATGAAGAAGTTATTTTTATTTAGTGTACTACAAAATTAAGACCACACTTGGAGTGATGTAAAGAGAACTGAATAAAATTTGTTCTTCAGCCCTGGGGACCAGGCATTTAAATCTTAAGAGTACAGGTGAAAATATGTACAATAACCTCATCCCTGCACTAGTTTTTCCACAGCACAGCTTGTATTAGTTATTCCTTGCTGCCCTGAGTAAGAGGAAGACCCAAGTCAAAGGTCCCAGAAATGGTATCAATGACTATAATGGGTCAAAGTATTTTTAGAGCTTCTCCTGGAAGAGATCCCAAGTTCACCTTCTTCACAGTGTAATGTTGATAAAATCTAAGCACAACCTTGAAATCTTGAGCAGGACTTCAGCAGTGGTTCCTGGACTCTCCCCATAGGTGTGATCTCCATCTCCTCCCCCTAGCAGCACGTGCAATCAGCATTTCCAACACTTTTTACTGGAGGAATTATAATTCTCATTCAGTGCCTAAAGCAGCAGCTAGGAATGGAGGAGCAGTATGTAGACAACACCTAGCAAGGGTCACTGTTCTGTCTCATTTCTGGGGATGTTTTAATAAATAGATAAATAAATACTTCAAGACATATGGCTTAGGAAGTTTTTGGTTTATCCATACGTATTCCTTCCATGTGGCAGGCTGACTGTGAGGCACAGCTGAACAAAAATACAGGCACAGTTGGCAAAGAGCCCTGAAAAAGCCTCATCTGATCTTTCAAAACCCATCACTGCCCCCCAAACTTTCTGTTTTCTCAAGTCTGTGTCATTTTCAACAAAATATTTCAACCAGAAATTTTGGTAGAGATCATCATATGTCAGAGTTTCTCTTCCTTCTCGTGTTCTTTGAGACAGAAATGTCCTAAGATTTGAAGCTGGTGAAAGGCTGAATTCTTTTACACACAAATTTAATGAACACGCTCGGGGATGTTTGGAAAAGCTGAAGTGAAAAATACCAAAGCTTGTACTCAAGGCAAGGTGGGGACAACTGAGACAGTTAATCCTGCTTCATTTGTGTTGGGGAAGAAAAACAAACCAAAACCACAATCACAAACAAAACCTAAAAACAATCCAGTCTGATTAAGCTGGACTTTAGAAAGCTGTTGGCTTTGTAAAGGAGGCAAATACTGCAAGGATCTCTGGTGTCCTCTGATGTTCAGCACTGCACACCTACACAATCCCTACTTTTTCTTCACCTATCCATTCCTTCCAAGCTAGTGTCCAATGCATGAATGGAAAAGCACCTCAGAATGGTGTCTGGAGCAGCCTACATGGCAGAAAACCACAGGGAAGGCACCAGTGGCCAAACCCCAGAAAAAAATATCACTTTAGGTACTTCTGCATCCATTTCTAGTCAGAAGGCACCACACTTCTCTCTCCCTTAAAGTGTTTTATCCTCTCTCCCTGCCAGAGCTGAAACCCAGACCATGAGCAGGCAAGCTTTAACATGCTGTAGTTAGAATCCCCAAACAGGAGAGCTCCTGTACAAATCTCTTGGGCCTAAGCCCTGAGGTTTAAAAGGGCAAATTTGGCAATCACCAAGCTACATCTTGACAACGTTTGGCTTTACACAAAGGTTTTTATTTTTCATAATCTGAAGAGGAAAAAGTCCCACTCCCTGAAATAAGCATCAGTGCAAGGTCATCCAGTCACAACAGTGACAGTGAATCTTTATTTATTTATAATCTGAGACAATTTAATGAATTTCCTGATAAACTAGGAGGACATCAATAACTACAAGCTGCAGTTCTGTACTTATCACAAGTGCTTGATACAATAGAATATTTGCTTCTACATACTCAAGAGATATAAGGTAGGGCTTTGAAGTTGGACCTTTCCCAGGTACTTTGTAGAGACAAAACTGCATGTGGAAGTTGGCATCAATGGAGAAAAGCACCTAACTCAAACCTGGGGCAAAGATTTATTTCTAGCCACCAACTGAGATGAGATAAAGGAAGAGAATCACCTCAGAAAAACCTCACCAGTCTGGACACTGTGATGTGAAGGGTACTGGCTTGCAGCTGCCAAGGCAAAGGTCAGGAATGAGGCTAAGCTTGACAACAGTGAACATACACGTCCCACTAAAGCTCTATCTCCTCTTCAATAGTCCACCAACAAATTAGACACAGCTCTGAAAGAACACACCTTCTTTGAAGCAATTTTGTTAGCTTTCATCCCTGCAGAGCTGTCTGAGGGCATTGAAGTATTTGAGATCTGAATTACTCTGCTACATACAGAGCAGCTGGAACCTGCTTGCTTTCTTTTGGGGAAAGAATGGCAAAAAGGGAAGTCAAATAACACAAATAGTCACTAAAATCCTAAAGAAGCAGCACTAGCTCCCTGTTGCCAACTTTTAAAGACTAGTTTTCTCTAAGAACATATTTTCCTGAAGCAGCATGTTTTTCATTCTTTCTCATCAGTTGCTATAGAGAAAGGTTGAGACCAGTGGCTCCATCGTGTTCATCTGACGTGAGAGGTGGATGAGAGGTCTGCAGTGATGCTGGCTCCAGCTGAGATGTGGGCCCTAGATGACCTCTGATCACACCACTGAGTTTGGAGGATCATGAAGATGATTCCTCCAGACCATGGCATTTGATATGTGCTAGGCAAGGCAACAAACTAAATCAAATCTGACTAGAACAAGACAGGATAGCATGTACAGCAAGACTTCAGAAAAGTTGCCCTTATTCCACCTCTGCTGTTCATCTCCAGTTGCATTCTGTAGCTTGTTTGGGACTAGCATTGAGCAGAAGAGACAACCCTGTAGCAGTCCAGTTGCATTTCCAGCCTTGGCTTGAATCAGGCTGTTCACTCAGAGCTTAGCTGTGGTCTGGGCTCACCTTGTTGAGCAGTCTGAGGCGTGGGCCTTGTCTCTGCAGAAGAACCTTCTGACCCCCTGCTGGACAAGTGAAAGGCTTTTAGGTGCCTGTACAGAGGGAGTGGAGCCTCCAGCCACAGCATTTTGCAAAGGGGGATGGCTGCTTGTATCATTGGCATCAGAGCAGCCCACAGATTGATTTCTTTCTTTTAATAAATCATTTGCAATGCAGTTTTTGCTCTCCACATCTTTAATCCAGGAAGAGCCTGGCAGAGGGGACTGAATACAAAGCACCTGCATCATTTTCAAGTGAATGAAGGAAGTGGGTGTTAGCAGCCCTGATATCCATCATTTTCTAAAATTGAGTTCATTCCCTCCAAAAGTTAAGTTTAGGAATCAATCAGGGCTCAGTGGTTTCCTAGGGCAGGGGGCACAGAAGTCTAGGGAGCATGCCTAGACTAGCTGAGCTACACAGCTCCAACAAAGCCTCTCTTACTAATTAAAAGGGGTAACACTCCTCCTGGGGAGGAGGCAACTAAATTAAAATCAAGACATTATGGCATTATGTCATCTTTACAGGTGCCTGCACTCCTTAAGGCAGTTTCCAAACTCTTGAAGAGATAGAAAGCTGCAATAGGTGAAAAAGAATATTCAGGCTTTAAGGATGTGCAACTCTGCTGGTTTTGCCTTTTTTCTTTTCCCCAGTAGGCATCACTAAAATCTGGCAGGTAGGAAGCTTAAGGCTGTGTCAGAATTCCAGGAGCTGCTGATTTTAGGGAAGATTATGATCATCTCTTCCCATTACCCACTCGAAACTTTGAGGGATGCCATCTAGGTCTGTCACCTCAGAGAAGACAAGCACCAGTGGCTTGAAGCCAGAGGGAAGAGGGCTGATAACTGAGGGTTCAGGTGGGCTCCCTGGAAGCTGTGAGGTGTAGCAGTACTTACATGGCAGCAGAGGACACAGAAGCAAGAAAGGCAGCCAGGAGGAGGAACATGAGAACACTCAGGATGGATGTAATGACAACCATGTCTCCACTCCTCCAGCCAGGCCAGGTGTCAATTTTTGAGGGAAGTTTAGCTAGAAAAACATGGAAAGAGT